AGTATTTACGTCGAGCAGGTTAGCGATGAGAGCAATCAAGAATACCACATTCCTAGTTATTCAGCAGGTATTCAAACAGTCTAGTCCTGAATACTTTGATCGACTGTAACTTGCGTAGTTCCGGTGGAAGATTATTCCAAATCTTTGATGCATGGTATCTGAAAGACTTCTTGTACGTCTCGGTTCTGCATTGCGGAAGGGAAAGAAGATTCACATCAGCCCTCGTATTTCTGCACAATTCCACAGATCTGAAAGTGAGGCCTTCGAAGATGATCTTCGGTTTTTGGTTCAGGATAATATCATGCAGCAAAGATGCCATAGTGTGATCTCTCCTCCTGTCCGTCTTGAGCCATCCGAGCTTACAATAAAAGGATGTGATGTGCACGTCTCTCTTGATGCCAAAGATTAATCTGACACAGGAGTTTAGTGCTCTTTGCAACCTTAAATTTTGCTCTGCAGTAATGTCGGTCAGGGCAGCACAACAGTAGTTCAAATGTAGTAGAATAAGAGTAGTGATCAACTGTATCCTTAGAGAGTCCGTTAGTAAATGTTTACATAGTTTTAGTTGGTATAGCTTGGAGCTGATCTTTCCTGCCGTTTGCGTAACCTGCTTGTCCCATGACAGAGTATTTTCGATGTGAACTCCCAGATATTTAATACTGCTGGAGAACTGTATTTTATCCTTATTGACTACAATATTCGGCAGACGTTCAAACTCTATGGAGTTAATGTAACGAGCAGAGCCGAATATAATCGCCTGGGTCTTACTCGCATTAAAGAGCAGTCCATTGTTCTTGGCCCACTGTAGAATAGAACATATATCGTTGTTAACATCAAGGATGCTCTCGTTAAGATCTTGAGGTCTGCAATGTAGATAAATTTGTAGATCATCCGCATACAGATTATGTTTACAGTGTTTTAAGTTGCCTATTAAATCAAGTATATACAGGGTGTCCCGTAATGACCGGACTAACGCTTAAGGGTAGATTCCTGAGATCATTTTAAGACAAAAGTTCCAATACCAAAATGTTGAGACTATAATAGTTTTTGAATTATAAGTGTTTAAAGTTAACTAATCAGATCGTCTAAAGTTGGCGCGCTCAGGTACGGCACGCGCAACTCCTAAAAACAAAAGCTGACTTATTGCCCCTTTTATTAATATCGATAAGGATATCGATAAGGAATATCGTAATAAGGATTACATATGTAAATATAAGATTATTTTTATTGATATTTCTGCAAACACATTGCGCGATAACATTGTACAATAATATTTTCTTTTTTATAATAACATTTTTTGTAATTAAAAAATATAATGACTCTTTAATTAACAAATATTAAACAGATGACAAAGGCAGTTAAGAGTCCCACGCAGTTCTTGGTGCGTATATATTCTTGGTTTATTCCAATAATCCTTACATTAAATCCTTAGCGAACGTTTCGGCTTCCATCAAACCATCTTCTAGCG